GTGTTTAGAAGGAGTGGGTGAGGTCAAATCTATTTATATAGCACGGTATCACAGTAAAGAGTAAAGCACTTTGAGCCCATTTACATGTATGAAATGTGCTGTATACATAAAACATATTGTTATATTATTATTTTGAAGGGCTCTAAAAGACATACAATTCTTTTATTTTTTTTTTACTGATAGAAAAGGAGATGGTTGGGATGGTAAAGCTTAGATTGTTGGATTAGTTTTTTTTACCTGGCTCAGCAGTGGTAGTGTCTCTATGCTTTAGAAGGCCAAGGTCTCGTCATAAGGACAAAGGCTAGTGTCTCGAATGGTGTTTTGTTTCTGTCGCTGACAGTCACAATAACGTGCGATATAAAGAAAGAGAGAACAAAAGAGTGTGATTGAGTCTTTCAAAATAAAGAATTAAGGGGTCTCATATCGTATGGAGCTTTTTAATTGATCCTCTGGTGAAATATTTAATCTTTTCTAATTTCAGGAAAATAATCAGATCACTGAGCCAAACAGATGCTTTCAGTGGATCATTTAAAATTAATTAAAAAAAAGAATTCAATTCAATAAAAAATAATTCAAATCAAGAAAGGTGTGTTTTAACAAAGGATTCAGAAGAGATCACTGCCCCAGCTCACCTGATTTCCTCCAGAGGTGTTGGGGCCCTCACAGCAAACACTCTGTCTTCTTTAGTTTTTAATCTGGTGTCTCAATGTACGTGACGGCTCGTAAAAAAAAAACTAAAAGATCTGATATGTAGCCGGGAGAAAATCCATGGAGAGCTTTAAGAGTGATCAGTAAAATCTTAAAGTCAGTTCCATAACATACAGGGAGCCAGTGTGAAGACGCTAGAACAGAAGGGATGTGCTCATGTTTTTGGTTCTGGTTAAAATCCTGGCAGCTGACTTCTAAAGTCTGGAGTCGATCATTAGAGTTTAGGGTTTGGAAGTAAAAAGGCTGTTAGAATAGTCGAGGCATGATGAAATAAAAGCAAGTAAAATCTTTAAAAGTTCAAATGTAGCTACAACTTGGATTGTAGATATATTTTTTAGGCAGCTACTAACTTTTGATTAATCTGTCGATTATTCCTGATGTTACGTTGACGGTTGTTCTCTCTCCTGCAGGGTCACTTCCCCTGGCCTGACGCCTCTGAATGGACCGATGAAGAGCTCGGAATCCCACCAGACGATGAAGAATAAGGTGAGCTCTTACTCTTACTCATCAAGGGCTTGTTAAGTAGAAACGAACTCACACTACGATGTAAAAGAAAGGCGTACCTACCACTATGTGACATTGTGTTTTGTTTTTTGTAGATCAGGGGAGATTCACGGTGCTGTGCCAGTCTTCAGATTATTCTGATAGTCACTGTTGTACATAGATTAATAAAGTTCTTTAAGTTAAACTGCGTTTTAACGTCTGTGATTGTGGTAGAAACGTGTAAACATTAACTATACAACAAACTCAAATTGAAAAGCTAGATTGAAGAAAAGACAAGCGTGTTATTTCATTATTTTTTTATTTACACGCAATTTTTGAAATGCAAAAAAAAAAAAAATGCATTAACAGTGTCACAGTTAGCCAGTGTTTGTATATTTTAAATCATAAGCCATTTAAATCTGGAAAAAACCAACGCACATAAACACAAATGCTGAGTGAGAGAGAGAGAGAGCTGCATATAAAAGCAAAAAGAAGGGGACAGATCCTGTGCGATGAAAACTACAGCTTATAAGAAACCCTGCCTGCGGGCCAGCTCGTGTTTTTTAAAAATGACTTAACATGCAAAGAGTTCAAAGGTTCAAGTGTAGTGTCAGAAAACAGCGGAGGAGATCGGTTTGTTTTGGGATTCTGTGAAACACCATCAGGGCCGAGCGAACAGTCACTCGCGAGTCACGTGCACGACAAGTTCAACCTGAGCAAAGCTTTGAAAAGTCTCACGCTGTTAAACGAGTTAAAGCTACTTGGCAACAGTTCGGTGTCATTTACATGAGGAAAGTAATTCAGAGTCAACGTATCAAACACTGAGCTGAGGGGACAAAACCAAATTCACGTTAACAGAAGTCGTAATGACTGACGGCTCGTCCTCACAACTAGAAAACCACAATCGTGAAATCTTTTTTTTTTAAAACAAGCAAAGCTTAGCGACCGCAGAAAGAGAAGCCGAAAGTGTTGAGAACATCCTGTCTGCTTAAACGACCTGGCTGGTGGTTCATCAAAAGTTATGTCCATGGCATCAATCCCTGAGAGTGAAGAACAGCGCACCTCAAGCAAAACACACAACACATCAGCACTGGTATTACTTTTTAAAAAACTCACTCATCCTGTTGAAGTTCCTCAAAGTTTCACTTCTGAATACATCAACTACTTTGGATCGAACACAGTGGCTCAGAATACTTGTTTGTTTTTTGCTAAATGATAAGTGGCACTAGTTGGAAAAAGCTCAGGTGTCGATGTTCTAAACCAAAACTATATTCGCACATCGCCCAAAGCGTAAGAGACGAGAATCAACACAGGATCTACTCGACCAGACAGCAGGGGAGGAAGAAAAAACAGGGTTGTGATGACTAGAAAGGTGATTCAAGATTTTGTTTGTAAACTGCTACTCAACAGATGATCACATGAACTCTAAAAACATCCACATTTACAAAAAAGTATGTTAAAAAAAAAAAAAAAAAAAAAAGTTAAGAAAAAAAAAACCTCGGAATGAGCCGAGGTTTCAGGATGAAAATAAAATAAAATCATCTCTTTCAATTAATAAATACATCATTCAGAATTCCATAAAAATAACACGTTAAAAAAACCATCACAGATAAAACGAGAAATAAATTAAGGAGGATAACATGCGAGTCGTTTCTCTGTTCGACGACTCGGAATTCCTATTCGAAACTATTTCACTAGGAGGCAGCGCTCGGAGCGACTTCCCTTCAGCAATAATTACCCAGAAAGACAAGACTCCCTTCTACTCAATAATCAGAGACTGCCTCTCGCTCACCTTTCTCCTCTACGTCATTATTGCTGGTGTGATTGAGATTAAAAAAAGTGGAGTCGGGGGGGAGAGGGCAGGAAGTGACGAGCATGAGTGGAGAAAAGTTCAAACAAATAAGCACCATTTTGAAATTTCAGTTCACCTTCTCCTCTTTTAGCACCTCGTTTTCCCGGCAGAGCAAAAAACAAAAGAAAAAAAGAAACACGTTGTTTCACCTGCTGCTCCGTCGTCCTGTTCGCTGAAAGCCGTGAAGCAAGTGACGGGATCTCAGGGAGGGGGAGGGGGGGTTCTCTGGAGAGTTTTCTAGCAAACGTGACGCGGATGGATCGTGGCATCGGAAGCAGTAGATGTGTCGCCGTCTCCCCGACGAGGCAAATGTCTTTTAGTCGTGTGGTCGACTTCGGTCTCATGCCCCCGGGAGCTTCAGTCCGACGGGTTTTTTTTTTCCCTGCAGCAGAAAATTTCACAACATGCTCGTCTTCGCTCCTTTTTTCAGTTTTGTTCTTAGTGTGCTTGTAGTGACGTCGTGCACTTGCTTTTTTTTCAAATCCAATACCCTGTCTCCTAAGCATGCACAGTGCGGTGAGCCCCCTCCCCCTCGTGTTTTCTACAGCACAGACGTGTCCAGTAACAAATACACAGAAGATTCTTTTTTGTTTTTCGTGGAGAATTCATCCCCAGCTTCTTTTTTTTTCATTTTTTCGCCTGTGTTCTGTTTTTGAAGTGTTACACAAACACACGACTGTGTCTGTTGAGTTTCAGGATCTTTCCCAGTCTCTGCTTGGCTGTAGCCATTCCTTTTTTGGGCCGCTTGCCTGGAAAAGAAGAATCAGAGGAGATCGATTTTATTACCGGAGAAGAAGAACAGAGTGAAGATGGCTGCGTCACGACCGTCTCCCAGACCTGAGATCCTGCTCGTATGTTTAAATCAACACTCGTTTAACCCTAAAACAGCAGCTTCATTAAAATGAGTTTGATGGTTAATTGATTTTGAATAAGAAACATTTTTCCTCTTTAAACCCACCACTCCCCCCTGAACGTCCCTTCTATGCAACTTTGGTGCGTGGGTTCGATCTCCTGTGAGAAGTGTGGGACTGACAGAGTCGTTGTCTGAATCAGGTTCAGGGAGTTTAAAAATGATTCCAAACTATAAATCAGTTAAAAATACTAAGAAGTCATTAAAAACCAGAGTTTATCTCCAATATTCAGCAGCAAACGTTGAAATATGAAGAATTCTAAAAAGAGTTTGGGGGATTTTTTCTTCTGGTTCAGGAAGAAGGGGATTATGGGTAATATTCACCGTTCAGTTATGTTTCAGTCAGAGCTCAACACATCGATGGACTTTGTGTTTCCTCTACATAAAAACCACTGTGGCAGCAGAGGGCGCTGTCGCTCAGTCAAACATTCTTTAAGCTGAAACTTTTCCTCTTTCAGTCGATAAGTATCATGTTTTTTATATTTCAACAAGAGAGAAAAAAAAAGTTAAAAACCTTTCGTGGCCTGATTGCTGATTGGTGGAGGGTTGGGGGCGTGTCTCTTGGAAGGGTGCAGCGGAGGAGACATGGAGGGGTCACAGTACTGGAAGTCCGTCTCTGGGCTGGTGGCGTGGCTTCGACTGAGGGGGCTGGGGAGCCCCTGATTGTCCCAGGCCTCGCTGCTGCTGTTGCCCTGGCTGTCCATCGGGCTCTTGTCCCCCTGCAGGAGGCGCTGGTGCTGCACCGGCTCCCTCTGCTCCATCCGCAAGCACTGGCTCGGGCTGGACCACCAGGGCTCTTGGGTCGAGGCCACCTTCTCCGGCTTGGAGGAGCACAGCAGGCCAGCCATGGACAGCATCCCCTGAATGGCCTCTTCTGTGCTGGGTGAGGTAGGACGGTCTCTGCAGGAGGAAGACGTCACAACCACTTATTTAATGTTCAAGCTTTGACAGGTGCCCTGATGGGAACATTTTCAACATCTCTGCATGTGTTTCTCACCGTTTGAGTGGTTTGTGTTTGTGCCTGAGTTTCTGGCCTGAAGGGTCCAGCTCTATGACGTGCCCTGAGCCTTTCTGCTGCGATGAGCTCCTCTCCTCCTCTTCCTCCCCCTGGGAACTCTCTGAATCCTCGTCAGAAGAGGAGGACGACGATGACGACGACGACGATGACGATGATGCTTTACGCTGCATTGACAAAGAAAGATGATTTAGCAAACAAAATACTTTCATTAAAAGAAGTAAATCTATAAAACTAGGCTCCAAACAAGCAAAACATTTGAACATGTTTGACCTGAAGCTTTATAAGTTTACTGTTCAACTGCCAGTGCTGTTAGTTAGCTCAGTATTGACTGTGGTTCTCTGTCCTCTCACAAAGTGTGATATAAAATCCTGCTCATCATTCACCTCTGTGGGAGAGTCACTGTCTGACTCCACATCTGAAACACTTGAGTCTCCTGAGACTTCTTCCCTGAGTTCAGTCTTCACCCGCTCCAGAGCCGCTGGAAAACACGACGAGGCACAATCAGTTGAAGCTCCTGACAATTATTTCACATGGTTTCTGATTAGAGATGATTTTTAATAAGCGATGACTCACCGAGGAGCGAGTGTTTCTCGTCCATGCTGTGCTCCTCTTGGCCGTCCTGCGTCCGCTCCGACTTCACATCCACACAACTCTTTGGTGGACACTGGCCAACAGATGACCGCTCACCCTCCGTCTTCACCGGGCTGCTGCTCGGTCGCCTCAAATCTCTGCACAAACAAACCAACACGTTTCAATGATTAAAATAAAACACATTTCGCTGGACTCTGAACCTGAACTGTGAACCAGCAGAAATATGAAGACACAGGATGTGGTGTCTCAACACTTTTTGACATTCATCGTATGTGGTTTGTTTAATATGTGTTTAATTTAAAAACACTTTCTCAATTAAAGCACCTGGAAGTGAATGAAGTGTTAATGCAGGCGTTACTTCTTGGCTGCTAAGTGGAAGCGTAACTTTCCTGATTAATATATAATAATACATGTTGTTCATATATTATCTTTTAAAAGCTGAAGCACAAAATGTTTTCCAAATGAAATATAAAATCAGAAATCTTTCTTGTAGGACCAACACATTTTGGACCATGACAGCTTTTAGTTCCTGTGGTGGAAACAAAGCTCAATATTTCCTAAACACTATTGTTATTTACTTTAGTTAATTAAATGTGGTCTTGGATTTTTTCATTTTGCTTGAAGTTTTACACATTTCTTTTCTAAATACCCTCACGCTTATTCTTAATGCACAGATAAGACTTTCCATTTTTCTGCTATCAAAAAACTGCACATGACCACTGAGCCTTCATTGATAAGTGGAGCAAATGTTGCTGCGTTGACCAGAGAGAATTGAGCTCTCACCTGATGATTCTGCCGTTGACGAGCATCAGCCGGAGGTGGTTGTCCTCTAAAGACTCCGCAGCAGCAGCAATGGCCGATGCAGTTGACACCTTGTTGAGCTTTCCATGAACCTTGGCACAGAACGCTGGATCCTGAGGAGTTCACACCAGAGTCAGTCACAGAACACAACCCATTCAATATTTAAACTGCGCTACTTTTCTGTAGCTTTTGGTTTTCCTCACCTCCTCGAGCGGTCCCACCTCCAGCCTCCTCAGCACCTCCCTGGTGTGCTGCTCTAAGATGTCCAGGTTGGAGGGCACTTTGGGCACCTGCCTCTGCTGCTCCCTCAGCCTCCTGGCAGCTCTCCTCGCCCGCCGGGCCTGGCTCAGCTTCTCCAGCGTGGACCGAGTGGCCGGGCAGGCGTTCGATCCAGATGCTAGTCCGCACCCGCTTCCCTGAGATTTCACTGGCTTGCTAACACTGACTGGTTCCTCCTGAAAAATTGATTCCAAAACACATTCATGGAGTCAAGTGTCTGCCGAGGTTGGTGCTTTAATGAGGTGCCTGACAATAGGAAACATTTTTATTTTAAACCTGTACAGATACTGTACTGAACTAGTAAAATATTGTGTAAAGTTCATTTTAAGCAATACTTTTTGTTTGAAGGATAGAACTGAAGGTCATTCTAGTTTTGCTTGGTTTTATTAATTTGACACTGAAACTAAAGGACAATCTGTAGAAAACATTTTTCCAAAGAGCTGAATATCACGACATGATAATGTGCCTGAACACTGACTCCCTGAAATTGTTAAAATATATCATTCGGGTGAATATATACTAAATTATATAATAAAACGTCAAAAATTATTTGGGATTCATGTGTTAATGATTCAAAACACGCTTTGAATCTGGTAGAAAATCATCTATGGGGCTTTTAAATCCATTATACAAACTCTGCTCTTACCTCTAAGTAGCGGATTTCCTTGGTGAGCTCTTTAATGAGATGGTTGGGCCTGATGTTATCTGGTACCTCACTGGTGGGTTCAGTCTCCTGAAAACACACAACAGACCACGTTCAGATCGAAGTGAACAGAGAGAAGTCTGTCGTTGGTCACTGACGCACGTCCAGAAGATAAAGACCCAACAGGTGATGTCTCCTGCTGGAACTCAGCTGCTGTGTTTTCACAGCCACCTGAACTGTGGAGGCTGAAACGCAGGAAACACAGAAATGACCTTGAAGGAAACTGAGGCTGATTCTCACCTCTCTTTTCAACCAGGTCTTCAGTGCACTGATTAAAGCCTTGACTCCCTCCACCAGGTAGGTTGGTGGTGGACAGTTGTCCTCACGGAGCTCTGAGGAAAAAAAATTGATGTAACTCAGAGATGCAACATTCAAAGACAGAACCATAAGAAAATGTTATTCCCATGATGATGACTATTATTGTATAACCACTAAAGCTATCACAAAATTGGGATTTCAGTCGTTATCACATGAGCAGCTTCTTTATTACCCCCACTGTTGTTTTTTGAACGTGTTTGATTTAATGTGTCTCTGCTTTTAAATGTGTAATTGATCGGTGGGGAGCGGTATTTTATCCAGAGATGATAAACTCCATCACCCACTGCTTTAAAATCTATCTCCTATCTATTTTCTGAGAGGTCTCACGTATAAAACAAACATTTGTCTCGCACCTTTTAGCATTTCCAGCAGGTTCTTGGCCACATACCAAGAGATGGCCTCAAAGTACGGAAACTGAAAGAGGTCTGGCGTTTTCAGACGACGCTCCATTTCATAACACCTAACATAACACATGAGGCGCAAAAGAGTTCAGTGAAAAAGCAACAGGCACAAGAGCTTCTGCAATCAAACATGACTCAAGGTTCATCAGTGTCATCTGAGGCGTTCACCTGAGCTGCATGCCAATGTTGAGGTTATGAAGGAAGTTCCCTCCAAAAGCCATGCAATCCTGAGAGGTGAGAACAGCATGGATCCAGCCTGCAGGGGGCGACAGAGCACAGACGTTAACACAGTGTCTACACAGACACAATAATTAAAGAGATATCAGCTGAAAATCACCATAAAACTTCATCAGGCTGAATCTGAGTCGATGTGTTATAATATAAGATATAATGTCTGAAGATGAACCCTGATGTGTACGTACAAAAACAAACTTCTTCTCCTCCCAACGTCGGACCAAGAAAGAGAGAATGCAGTCTATTAAAATAACGAGCCTCCCCTCAGATAAACATCGTTCTTTATCCAACACAGAGCGGGAGAACCGAGTGTGCAGCGCGGGGGGGGTTGGTGTAAGGCTGATAGACAGGCCTGATAATGCACCGGTTGACTGACCTACTGTGCTCTCTGACCCCCACTTAATTCCCACCTCTCCACACCCTCTCTGCCAAAAACGCTCTTTTACAAAGCTGCTTCGACCTGCTGAGAAGCGATGGTTGGAAGACTGATTGAGGACGTCCAGCAGTTGACGGGCTGAACTGAGCTTTGTCTTTTTCTGGGAGAGGGGTGGGGGGAGTGAAGGAACTCCATCGGCTTAGAAAAGTCCATTGAGAGGCTGAAGGATGAACAATCGTATGACTACAGACGTGTTCGCTTCACTTCAATGAATGAAACCACATCATATTCTGTTCAGCTACTTTCAGACACAAAACGCAAATGTCCAAGTCAGTTGCTCCAGACTTTTTGCAGAATCTTTGCTGTGACTCCCTCGTAAAATGTCCAGAAAATGTCTGCAGAATTTATATGTCACGTCCTGCCTCCTGCATGCCCTACCCAGGCACCACCACTAGCCTGAATGTTCCGCACTTTCAGTGATAAGGGTCGACATCGATGTCGATGTGCTGTAAACCGAAACACGTGATTTCAACTGCTTCAGTGACATGAAACTCAAACATCTTTTTACCCTCTGAACAGAATTGATGTGAGTTTGTAAAGACACGTGCAGGAGGAAGCCGTCATCTACAGCCTCCTTCCTTCTTTGAATGTATTAAACCCCAGCTCTATTTGTCTTCATTTTTCCATCGTAATTATGATCATCAAGAACTGTTTGGATTGTCACTCTGAGAGAAATTCCCTCTCTCTGTTATTTTCCCTTGAAAATGATAGAGGTCTTTAAGGAAGCCTGTATTTTCCTGGCAGTAGTCGTGGGAAACAATAATTTTAACGTTTGAACTTATGTGAAAAGACAAACAACGGCAGACAAACATATCACCTGTGAAGAGCAAGAAAATGATGGTGACGCAAATAGCTGTTTGTCCGAGTGTGTGAAATTGATTGTGCATGGACACCACTAAGTATTATACAAGACTCTAAAGGGTATTTTTATATAAGACCTGTTTGGTTCAGTTAAACAGGCTCTGGTGTATTTGCCTTGTGCCGGTTGAATTACTTTATCATAATATATGTGAATTGAGCATGAATTGAATCCATCTGTTTGGAGCTAATTGTTCAGGGGCCGATAATATACGTAGCAGAGTTTATATTTATGCAAAATTTATTCCTTTCGCTCAGAAGCAAATGAACTGGACCACAGTGTAAAAGGTCCCCATGAGTCAGAACAAGAAGTGTACTCATTACAAAGAGTCAAATACAAACATGTCAGACACTTCATGCATGCCTAAAAGATGATTACAGACCTGTAGGGATGAGCAGGGTGGTTCCTTGGGATACGATGCACTTGTAGCACTTCTCCACTTTGTCCCCAAAGAACACTTCACTCTGATTGGGTGAGGAGCTCCATGCCTCATATAGTGCAAGGTTGGCAGGAGTGGGCTTGATCAAGTAGAAGACCTTTTCACCCTGAAGAACAGAGGAGGAGGAGGAGGATGACACCGATGTTGTGTGTTTGAGCGTGGCAGCTGTGACGATGCTGCTGTTCTCAACACCCACATCCCATCTGAAATTCATGTCTGCTACAGTTTCTGGACTAGACAGTGAGATCATGAGGAATGAAACAGCAGAGCTTCATGGTGTGAGAAGCTTGTGCTGTCCAATCAGCTGTGACTGCCGTCCCTAAATACCACAGTATATGCAAATACACTACAGCTCACTGAGCTTGACTAATGTGAGGGCAACTTCCCCTGTGATTTAACAACAGGCAACAAACAAAGTCTCTCTGCCCTGGAACATGTTTTTTTCAGGACAAACATTCACACTGACTTCCAAAGAGCACACTCACCCAGAGAACATGGTACCAGACGGAGGTGCCTCCAAAGTCTATGTGGAAGTCTGTGTAGCTGTCCTTGACCCCCATAAGGCAGTACTTCTGGACAAAGGGCTTGGGGAAAAAGGAGTCATCCGGCCAGTAGTTCTCCACCCAGGACATTTTCTGTGCCACGTCAGGAACTTCCACCAACTCAGACATCCTGCAGGAAGTGAAACCATAGGAAGGTTTAGAAGGTTGAGTTCAAAGTTATCAATCATGGCGGCATTGTGTTTTGGTTTTTTTTCTCCAAGTCATGAGGTCCCATATTTAAAATGGTTGCCAACAACGTAAATAAGATTTATGTTTCTGAGCCAGATGAACAGTAGAAAAAAACACACGAGATTGAGCAGATGGAATAAAACACAGGATCACTTACTTAGAGTCAGAGAACTCCAGGCTGATGAGGTTGAGCACCTTGAGTCGATGGGACTTGGTGAAATACTTGATGAACTCGCTGAGCTTCATCTTGCTGTCCGCTTGCCGAGCCACATCTATCACATCGATGATTTTGTCGGCACCTGGACAGGAGATATCAGACAGAGAAGTTCTGTAGTTAGTGACTGAGTGGGTGTAGGGTTCACTGGGGTCGGCGACCTCCTGGCATCTCCATGTGCTTTCACAGATCAAGCCCTGAGGTAAACTGGCACCAATATGGCAGAGCGGGGGGGTGGGGAGGGGGTCGTACTGAGAGACAAAATAGACAACTTTTCCCAAGGCCACCAGTGCCTGAGGGGGTGCAGTTGGTGGAGGTGAGAGGTCTGCTGCGTTTAATGCACATTTGGGCACAGAGGGAAATATATGCAGAGATGAAACAGTGTGTACGTGGTGTGTGTACACGTTTAAGACAAAACACAGATGCTAGAGAGGAAAAGAAAAAAGACGACAGAGAGTCGTAGCACACAGTTGAGACACTATAAATCACACTCGGGTGACACATGGGGCCGGAAGTAGGAGCGGGGTGCAGTGTGTGGAGCAAGACAGCTGGTTGTTGTATTTTCCCCAACACCCCCTCCCACACACCTTTTTTTTATAACCCCTTTGCATGTTCTCTCTCTTTCTCTCTCTCTTTCTCTCCCACACACACACACACACACACACACACACACTCACATGCACTTGCAGACACCTCTGAAACCCAGCTGGCCAGCGTCTGATGACAGAGAACAGCTGGACTTGAGGCAGTCAGTCACAGTGAAGGAGGAAAGGAAAAAACACACACACAACGCTCAAACAGCAGCCTCACAAACACAACGGCAAGAAGAAAACTTTTCATAAACGTAAGAGAATCCAAAGCTGAAAGGGCTCTGAGCTGCCTGATGTCCATAATCACTGTGATATATTACTACACCCAGTCATGTTAAGGTAATTAATTAAGGTAATTGTAGCAAATACGTCTTTGTCAATATGCATAAACTAGAGACGCTTCACTCTACGCATGACTTACTCGTTAATCATCTGTTTACATAGCAAGGTCGTACAAAAATAATTATGACAGAAACACATTTTAATCTCTTTAAATTCAAGACTTAATAATGAATATCAACATGCTAATTCTTGACGATGCAAGACTTTTATTCATCAATTATTATCATGGTATTATAGGATTTAATATTATTATATTAGAATGGTGATTTGCAAGACTTTCTTGTCTCTATAAACTGCTCCTATTTCAGTGTGTAATGCATTTAATAGACCGTGTACATATATAAAAACCATGAGTAAATGAAACTAAAACAAACCAATGTGAGCAGTGTCTGCATCAAGCTGTATTTATGCAGCTCCCACTGAGGTTCATTAGTTCGAGCACTAGATCAAACCACTGACCACACACTGAGCAGACTACACAACAGCATTAGATCTGAGTGAGTCACAGAGGACATCAGCGTTCACTCCTCTTGTCCCATTGTCTTCCAACTGTAAGAACCGTAACCAGACACTCAGTCCCTGGTCACAACACCTGTGCCTGGGCTTAATGCTCAATAGGGCATGGGAGAGAGAGATAAAGTGAGAGAGGGAGCCTGTAATCTGAACTTAATGATAAAAACACCAGTGGGCTTGGTAATGGGCTTGTAACAGGAGCTGGGAAGTGGCAAGCTGTTTCGGTGAGGAAGCGCGGTGGTCACGGAGAGGGCAGTGAAAGCTAAGCCGTCAGTCATTTAGAGCTCATTCAGCCATCGTCTGATGCCTGATAAGTGGGTTGAAACCCCATGAACCTGGAAACCTGTTCGTATTGACACACAGATGGCGCCTGCTCAGCGATGGCCACTTAGCCATCATTAGCTTTCCAGCAGACCGATGCTGCCGTGTATGCCAATCACAGAGCCCACATCCTTCCCCAGAGGATAAACATTGAAGTGTTTTATGAAATTTCCTTACCAACATACTGCTCCACATCTTTGACTGAAAAAGTAGGGGCCGGTAGTTTGAGTCCCAGACCCTCCATCTCGGTGACCTGGATGGGGTAGTTGAAGCCGTGTCTCTCCAGGTACCTGGGTGTCACCTGCTCGCCTTTCATCTTCATCATAATCTCCTCACCACTGGAAATAGATTGTGACATGTTCAGCAAACTTTGGTATTAACATCCGTCCTGAGACATCTGATCACAAGTGGCCTGACAGACAACTAAGTTTGTCTGTTCACACCAGGTATTAAAATGCATGCAGACATTCTCTGGAGCTTTAACTAGGGGGCAGGCAGGAAAAACCTCAGAGACACGCCGCAGCAACTGACTTTTGCATTCTCACATACAACCCCTCAGGAGAATTTAAGGAAAATGTCTGGAGTGCAATTCATGCTTTAAATGTATAGAGGGAACATTGGGCAACAATGTGCAACATTTAAGTGTATATTTATATGTCACTAATATTTAAAATGTTATAGACATCAGGTGGATTCGTTGTTTTATGTGGATGACTTCAGCACAGCTGTCAAGTCTGTGCATGTGTCCAACTTCATATCTACCTGGCAAAGGTTCTGTTCTGCAGCTCCTTGATGAACACTGAGGTGCCAGCTTGAACCGGCTTCGATCCATTGTCTGCCTCTGTGTAATCGTGCCTGTGCCAGTTGTTTCGCCTTTTCACTGCAATAAAAACAAGAGACACAAGAGTTTCACAGGGTTGTTTTGGTTCTCATGTCACCGCCCTCTTCAAACAACAAAGTGGTGAATTATGCACGTCATCGCCACTTTTTGTGAGGACGTTTATTCACTGCTCGAACCCCTGTGCAGAGAGATGGAGATAGAGGGGCCTGTCCCATCAAAGTGCAGGGATTACAGCGCCATTCAATTAGCCTGTTAATGTCTGCCCTCTGGCTCTCAGAGGTTAACCCATTCCCCTCCCCCTCTAGAAAAACTCAGACTTGACTATCACTACAGAGAAAAACCTTTTCCCCTGGGACCAGTCCCAACATACAGGGAGACGGGGGTGGGAGGTGAGATACTGAATGACAAGAAGGTTAGACATGTAAATGTAAGGCAGAGAATCAGAGGACAGTGTTTGATGAATGAGATGCATGTCGGGACTGGGGGGGAAGAGGGAGGGACCCACTAACCCCAAACAAAAAGCAGAGAAGTGCCACGAATGAGAGAAAGCATTACTCACTCAGGGAGGGTCCGTGTACGACATCACAGTTGGGACAGTGGTAAACATCGATATCCACGGCATGATGCTCTTCTACCTGCACACAGCTAGAGACGGAGAAAAGATACAGAGTTAGAGCAGGTTCACCCTTTCTCTTCTGGCACACACAGAGTTTTTAAAAGTTTATTAAAAACCACACTGGGACATGGATCTAATAAACCAGGGTACAAAATCAGGACTGACGTAGGCGGTCCAATGATAACAGCTACAAAGAATGTTTCTGATACTGTGAGAATTTTGAATCTCTCTCGCATTGCAACATAGGAACCATTACCAAAACATAATTCTTTCCACATTGATCATCTTTTGTCTAGATCAGCCCAAGTATACCTGCTTGCATGTTCAAGCATGATTCAGAAGTTATCCTACATGTCTAGTTCATGAGTCACTTTCGTTTAGAAAATTTAAAGCACAAATGTAAAATGAGAAGACGTCTGAGGGAACCTGAATGTGATGAAATGTATCTTGGACGATGTAAAAGTAGTGATCTATAACAAAACTCTTGTTATAATTAAATGTTTTACAACTGCAGCTGCACTGACATTTTGTAAATGCAACAATGAGTATTTAAGCTGTAATTCAGAGCCAGTGAACAATCCCAAGTCAGAATAATGGAGTATTTTCCTGTTTTGTGTCAGCATGAGGTCAAAACTTAAACTGAACACCAACTGCTTGCACGGACAGTGAGGATTGTTGCAGTCTTGCATTTTTGCTGTGACAGTGTCACTCACACTACTACCCCCGACCGTCCTGCAACAGCCAAACCACAGGCACCAGCACACATGCATTCCTCTGTAGCATACCAGAGCCCCAATCCAGAGAAACCTGGACCGACACCAAGGGATGTTTAGAGTTGGAGAAACTACAGCATGTTACTGAGGCTCGTGCAGCACAGATCATTTCAGTGGTTAAATAATGGAAAATGAGGCGGAGGGTAACTAAGAGTTTGTTATTTAAAACGTTTTTTTGTAGTACAACCATAGTATTTTATGATTTTATTTCACGTGTCCCCAGTTGACCTAGAAACAGTTGCACACTTTCTGACTGATTTCTTTGTTTACAGCACATTGACAGCAGACTTATCACCATAAGTTCTCAGATCTTCTCGTCTTTCCAAGTGGACAACTTCGCTGCCGTCTCTTTATGTACACGGCACCTTTTTCTATTTGTATCCTTCCAATTTTGCACCAGTCACATATTACCAACACTAAGCACCATTAACACTGCGGTGACCTCAAGGAAGCAACTGCAACATGCAATCAATTTTAAAATATCAAACGTGGTGACTTTGAAACTTAACAAGTGTTGACATGTTCAAACCATCAACAGGAGCATAGTGCCCAGCTATAAAAGATGGGTTTTTGCTGATAAAACCTCTGCTTTTAAAATGTGAAAGCTTGAGAGAGGGTTGGAGTCGACCACAGCGTGCTATCACCTTTGATCTACAAGGAATTGCAGGAAACTGCAAAGGAAATAAAGCCGAGGGCCATTAACTCATCAGGAAGTGGTGAACTCGTGTGAATGCTGGACTCCATCACCCTGGTGCACTAACAGGATATCAACAGTAGCTGCCTCTCTGTGGTTTACCACGCACACAACCTGGTGTCATTACTGGTTGCACAGCAAAAACACTTTCCCATAGCAAACAAGCTGATATCTTTCACACATTTTCTGGGAGAAAGGGTGATAACATGCATGCAGTTGCTGCAATCACCCTACTCTACAAATACATTAGGAGTTTTTGCATCACTTGAGTGACTGATAGAATATTTGTTTTGGCATCAAGTAGGCACATTTATGTATCATCGGTATCATTTAGCCTGCAACGTCCACAGCAAACAAGGAAGTGAAAAAAGCAGCACCCCTGCTCCTGCACTTGAGCGAGAAGATGACCAACACTAACATTGCACAGGGTTTGGCCGTAGTACCGGGCCAAGCTCATGAATCAGGAATCCTGGTTCTAACATGTGGCCGTCGGCTGGGGGAAAGCATGAGTCACCGCTCTCTGCCGCCGGATGGTCAAGAAGAGCGAGAGCGGTGCGTGTTCAGCTGAGGTGACCTCGTTGTCCTCGTCTCACTTGGTATTTTCTTTTATGCAGCGGCACAGTGGGAAATCAGGGCACTGTGCCACATGCGCTGGAGTCAGCTGCATGTCACCTGTAATGATTACTGCTTAACAAGGCTTGTGAAACTGTGTGGACTTGAGACTGCAAATGCACAACAGGGGTGGGGGGGGCTCAGCTGAAAAGGAAAAGTGGGCCAAGTATTTCCTGCCTTGCACATGCTTGATGGTGTATTGCATCATTGCAGAGCTGGTGATTGTGCAAACAGCTCTCAAACTGTGAACCTCACTGGCTTGAAAAACGCCTGGGATCAGATTTAAAGCCACTGAACAGACGTCAACATAATAATCAATGAGATAGTGTTATCACTGTATATTACTGTAAAGAAGGTACAGTCGACATAACCCGAAGATAAAACACTGATCCTTGCCATATTCAGACTAGAGTTATTCTGTGATGGCACCGCAGCAGATTACCAAGCATAACATCCCTTCCTGAACGGGACGTGTGTGCTCGGCTAAAGCCCCCTGCCATCAACAGCCCCTCTCCCTGCACTTCCTCTCATCAAGGGCCTCCTTCCTGTGTGACTGAGGGAGCTTATTCATTAGTCCATGCACTATGAGGGGTTCATTGTCCTCCATGATCAGTGCAGAAACACAAAGGCTGGAGGCGGGCATTGCCATTATTTTAAGCTCTAAATAACCGCTCCGCATGGGGCGCCGACACGCCTACATTAGGGAGCTGGCAGATCTCTAATGGATGGGTGGTAGAGATAGAGAGGAGATGAGGGCAGTTAAACACACCTGGCTATCTTTATCTATCTTTATCTAGCCCGGAGGAGCACCGGACTCCTCCAGCCATGCACCTAATGCACTCAGCCAAAGCTTACATAAACAGTGCTGGACCTGGACAGCCGTAAGAGCCACTGAGCCCTGTCGGATGGATAGGGATCTGTCATTTTGCCCTTACTGGTTAAATCATAGTAGCGACTTAGCATATGTGCGACCTAACATCTATGCAGTGGTTCCAGCTTGAAAGAGACCGGAGAACCTCTCTGTAGTCAGATGGTAAACAACAAAAGAGGATTACTTTGTTGTTTATGAGGCGCCGGGGAGCCCCAGGGAGTTTTAACAACTTAATTGTTTTGGGTGCAGGTTGGGTTGACTTGAGGCTCCTGGCACTGAGCGCTTTGCTTTCACACATGTCTTCAACATGGTTGTCTCCAGGCGGCCAGTGCCCCTGCAAAACCTACAAAGTCATCAGTCTTGTGACTGTCTGCTGCTGGAATAGATCAGCCAATAAACTCACAAAGACAGACTGGTCTGAGGATAAATCTGCTCACTACGCTTGTCAGGAGGCATTTTGTCAAATATCATGAATAACAAATTACTGTGAAGATAATACCACAAGTAAGTAAGTTCTTACTGGCAGAAACACTGAGCTGCACATTGTATATTTTGACAAGATGTTCATTGAGCTGAATATGATATGACAGAGTCAAATCTAGTCCCACATTAAAAGGATTGCTATAAATAGAGATTTATAAGCTAAATGAACTGTAAGACATAATGTATGGCTTTAATATCATAATTCACAATGACTGGTAATCAATACACAAGGCTCTTGACCCCTAATCAACATTGATCAAGCTAAAAGTAATGCAGTTTCCCTGCCCCCCCCGAGACAGTCGTACTAATGAATGTAAACATAGCTTTTAACAGCAGCTATGAGGCTGCTCTTTACATTGTCCAATTGACCCATCAGACATCTAAATAGACAGGCCTGAATAGTCTCCTCGTGGACAAAGAAAATGATTCTTCCCCTCATCCATCCATTTAACACAAACACTAAAAAGGCACTCTGTCGAGGGTATCCATCTCTCTTTGGTGTGCTCACACTCTGTGTGACATTGACGGATTGTGCATTGAACTTGGCTCGCTGGAGCTGCCATCAATCATTTCCTCTGTCCCATCGCGCACTGCTGGTTTATCATCACCCCCTCCACCTGCACCTAAATCAGACAATGGGACGGCCACAGCGCCTGACACCTAAACTGGGGTAAACACTGTGATCCGACTTGACCCGGTGAGGACTTCTAGCAAATCCGACATCCACGGCGTTAACATAAATAGGCATCTTGGAAACAAGGCAAACAACCAATTTAGGGAAGTAGGTCTTGTAATTAGGTGAGGCTCTAAATAGTAAATAAAAGAGTTCAAACTAGCAATTGTGACGTAAACCACAAGCTCTAGTAGAGGGCTGTAGTGGAGTCCTTTGAGGGAGGGATACCTGAGGGGCTAAAAATAAAATAGAAATGAAAAAGAAAAGCAGATACTATAAAACATTCATTTTACACACAAATATCCAACACCTCGAAACATAATTTAATTTCACATCCTCTCAGGCAAATCAAACTTGTGACCAGATATATGTATTTCCTCTTTTTTGACACGACAGGAAGCAAAAATATTGGGAAATACTGCTAACGACAACAATTTTAATGTTACCACAACTTAATTTACTAGTAACTCTCACTGGTAAGGAGTTTATAACAGTGACTGATCGGAAACTCTATAAACTACTGCAGCCCATCTGCTCCTGCATCTCAAGTCTGTATCAACAACAGGACTTATCTTCCCATACAGAGCCAGGAAATATCTCTGTATTGGTATTGCAATAAACCCATAGTGGATGGTTGATGTGTGTCAATAATGGACTCTATACAAAGTACATTTACAAGGAGCTTATCAAGACAAATATACATTTCTGGTTCCCCTGTTACCTCACTGATCACTAGACCGACGCAGAGGAACCACATTGCTCTGATTACCCCGGTCCTCCAACCATTAAAAGTCCCCGGCTGTATTGTGTACTCAGATGCTGAGAGATATAAGTGATGGAAAGCAGGACACTTTCCAGACAGCGAGACAAACGCCCCCCACACAAACAACAATCCTGCTAGCACACACACGCACACAAAACCAGGCACGAGGAGACTGAGCTCCTCTCATTTCCACTGTGTCGGCGTACCACCATCTCCAGCCAGAGAATACCCCTTTCCCTTCTGGCCCGCCTCGTGGGAAAGAGGCTGGAAATGTGGCTGTTTTTGGAGCCCTTGCTCTGCGTATGTGTGTATCTGCTTATTAGTCATCAATGGGGGGAAGCTCCGGCGTTTGTTCCTTTCCTCACTGGCACATGACACACAGCCAGCCCATCCTTTTTGGCTCTCATACACCACAAATTCTGGGCTGCCTGTTTTTTGGCAGCATGCTTACTGCAGTTACGCAATTGCTTCCGTCATTTCCACACCAGCAAAAGAAAAAACTGATTATTGTATTCATAAACAGTTGCCGTGGAGATTCGCCCACACGGGCAGACTCAGCGGATGGAAGAACGAGGAATATGAAAGTTTTCATCTATGAAAGCTTCTAGACTCTAAGGTCTTTAGGTTTATGTTCATTAGAAGTGACAGTTAATGAAGTCTGGTTTTACTGGTTACCCGAGTCTGACACACAGAAAATAGTTTGACAACAATGCAACACTTTCTCTATCCTCTCATCATCAATCTGTTACACAAGTAACCAAACAGCTTTCTGTCTTGGCTCAATACCATAGAGAGATTAAACCCTGATCACGCAATCTAAAGTACAACTTGCACTGCTCTCTAGGTCACACTATCACCCAAGAACAGTTCAGAATGACTGTGACACCAATACACAGCAGACACTGGGCGTGGACGACAATAAGCGTGACTGAAATCTCACAAAACACACGATATAACAAAACAGGATGGCATGAGACAACAGCTCAACAACAGGAAGCTTCGACAGCTGCCGCCCACAAACAACACGACTCATGAAAACAGCTGTAACACTCACAGCGACCCACTTATAACGAGTGAGGTCATAAACAAACAAAAAAAGGACAATAAGCAGTTTAAGGTTATGTGACTGTGTGGTTCTTTGAAAGAGTCCCCCTGTCCACCACTAGGGGTCTCCTGCCATGTGCCTCCTGTGTTTTAAAGGGGGGGGTTTAAATTTCTCAAGCTGTCAATCAAAAGCCAAACCATAACAAGCACCTTGTTCTCTGCTTTTCTTTTTTAACCAGAGCAAACCACTAAGATCTACAAAATAAAACAAAAGGAAAATGCTTAAAACACACACAACTTGAAATATGTTTAAATTAGATTTATTATCATTATTATTAATATCAGGATTCATCTAGAGATTGTATCCAAACAGATAATTCAGTTTTCAAACTTTGACAGTGTGAATAAGTTTCAAGTTTAAACGTTGGTCGTAGCTGCCATCACCTTAAATAACCTGATTTGTGAAGCAGATCGCAGGAGAGGTTGTACACGTCGAGTGGTTCAGATTAAACTGGTTTAAATCTAAGTGAAGACATCATTTAAACTCATCTCCACCGGGATTAATAACACAATAAACAACAAGCAGGCTGAGTGTGAACCGATGACCCCGGGCTCTCGATCAGCCGGGTCTGACTGACACCGCTCGGCAGCTCCTGGTTGATCCGCGTATTAGTGGATAAAAACAGATTCCTGTGCGGTTCTGTCTGATCCATATCGATGTATGTGAGCAAACCAAGGTCAGGTTGTGTGTTTAAGAGCGACTAAGTGTTAAATACGAGGCTGTTTCAGTGAGCGGAGCCTCACTTTCCTCCCGTGAAGTCGTGTCAATGGACGGTTTAAAGCCCCCGTCGCCCACCGCTAGCGTTAGCATGCTAAGTTAGCTTCCAGGCAGCGCCGCACGGAGAACCGTCGCCTTCCTCGCACAAACATCGCGTGTTTCTCGGTTCCGCTGTGCTCCCCCGCCCCGGGACCCCACTGCGGACCTACCTGCCGTGGAACCAGTCTTTGCAGATGTCGCACTCGATCATAAACCGGCTCACATCGTAGGGCTGCCGGCAGACACAGTACAGCGGGGCCGCCGCCATCTTCCTACTGTCCCCAAACAACGCAGGAATGAAGCGGGGCGGGGACTGAGCCCAGCTTCCGGAAATACCCGAGACCGCACGAGAGCCACCGCCATTCGGAGGCAACCCCGCCTCTGACGTCACGCCTCCACTGGATTTCCATTAGAGTGAAAACACAACAATAACAAAGTTTTTTTGTTCCTACAGAGCAATGACGTCATGGTTCTATTCTCACTGTTTATCTTGTTCATGAGAAAATTTAAATTAAGTCTTTCAATGTATGAAAAAAAATAATTCATGATCTTTCAAACTTCAGTATAAACACACGAAGAGTTAAGAGAGCAAATTCATTTTAATTTCATCAAAACACTGACGATATAATCATCATTGCGGATAAACCAGGTAGGATAAACACAAACTTCCCTCTGCACCATAGACTGTTTACCTTCTGCACACGTCCACCACACAAACACTGAAAAGTGACACTTTATTGTAGAACAGTTTAAAGCAGTTAAGTAGTAGCAGTACTCTAAGTAATACAATAATCCTGAAGTAGCTATAGTAGTAATAATAACAATAATAAACTTGAATAAAACGCCTTCTAAGCACAGTTACACGTTGCTTTACTGGTTAAAAAATGAAAAATAAAAAGGAAACGGTTAAAGAGCAAATAATAAGACGCAATCTAAAAGCAAAATAAACAAAGGTAAACAAGTGATTAGAAGTTAAGACTAAATATAGACTAAAGTTAAGACTAGATAAAGACAACAAAGAGCCTCTGTGTTGTACAATTTAAGAGGATATTAAAATTCCCAAGAATCTTAAATCCTACTTAATCCAAAATCATAAAAAAAAAATCTGACGATCTGACATTTGGAAAATATGTATTGATTTATTTATTTGAAGAAATAATCATTTAATGGCCTGCAATGTCTGAAATATTCACATTAACACATATTTAACTCTGCCAAGGTTTTCACCCTGATGTCAGAAGAAGGTGTGATAACTGATTGAGCTGATTGAACCTGCATGTAAATGTGCAGCACCAGTCCAGACTTATCAGCATCCTATAAACACAGCTGATATGATATAACCATAAATGTGTCACACAATCCGAAGCAGCTCTCTCTGCAGAAAATGTGCGAAGTTTATCTTCCTGCTGTTCTCACACTCTTCAGCATAGAGCGACAGAATGTTCCCAATCATCACAGAAGAACCAAAACACAACCAAATCCAGCGCTGGTATGTCTCCATGGAGCGTGTCTGACATGCCCTACGTGCTTGTGCGGTGAATAGCAATGGGACCACCGACCCACAGCTTGATCTGTGAGCTGACAGCACCCATCCCCCCACTCACCCATCTGTGCTGCTCTGCATAGTCAAGCAGCTCTGGTGCATGCATGCACAGACTCATGAGCTCTGACTGCACAGGCGACACACGTGATTCATTGGTTTCGTCTGCAGGTTTCAACCAAATCGTTTTTTTTTTCCTGTGGTGCAGTCTGGGCCTGCAGCGAAACGTAAACATCTCCTTTGTCCTCGGGTGACAATAGTAGCCTGCACCTCACCAGTTGGTTGTAGCTGATTGTTATCATGTCTTCACATCAGGTTTTTTCTCTCTCGTCAGTCCAGCACAACAGCTTCACCTCTGGTGTGCAGACACACACATGCCTGTAAACACTGCTCCTGGAAGTTAATTACCCCTTGTAAGTGGAGGTCAGAGGTTCTCAAGATGGGTCTGTGTCACTGCTGATGGATGAACGTGCACAACTTCTTCTTCTTCTTAGAGCAGCCATGTGATCATTAACCATAGAAAAGACCAGTTACATTTAAGTGGAAAAGCATGGCTCCAGATTTACATTTTATCATAGACAGTGGTTTGCAATATTATATAATCTAAATGGAATTGTATCAGCCCTTTGCAAAGGACAACATGTAACAGGTTGACTTATATCAGACGTTACAGAGAAATACAACAACAAAATAAACTGCAGTCTAAAAATGACCAACTGCGTCAAATCTAAATCGTCTTAAATCATGCAAATCTGAAAGTATGAGTGATTTGAAAGCATTGCTGCATGCACACTATGAAGATCCACACATGCACGAGCATCAACTAATGATATGAAACACATCTGAGAAAAGAGATAAAAAGGATAAAGGTGCAGTGCAAAGTAGGAACATCCTTGTAAGTGGAGGTCAGAGGTTCTCAAGATGTGTCTGTGTCACTGCTGATGGATGACGCACGGATTGAGCTGTAAATGTTATCAATGACAACGGTTCGGAGTATTGCATAATTCAATCGGTTTATTGTCAAGTGATGCAACTTCCATTTGCAGAGGACAAAGTGTAACAGGTCGATTTATACAGAGAGATACAACTGACAATACAATAAGCTGCATCATCAAGTTTCACTGCAAACAAACATTTATCTTTGTAATTTCTCCTTTTTTTCAACACAACTGATGTAAATAATTATGATCCCCAG